ATCTGTCACATAATTGAAGTTGACTCAAACGAACAGACAGTCTATTTACATACTGGAGAACTGTATGACCAAAAACGCGACATGCGAAATTTGGTGATATCACATGACCTCCCTTATTTTCTGCAATGCAGTCGGTTAAAGCAGAAACGAGAACAAAGTGAAAAACAAAAATATGCTTAGCGTTTTTTTTTTTCAGAAACAATATGAGATCGGCGATCGGTAAATGCGCCCATTTAATAATATCAAATACACATTCATACAAATAATCATAATATATTTCGTACCTATGTATGTATGTTTATGAATCTAGCATATACGCGTATTTAAGTACAAACATACGAATGTAATATGATTAAATGATGAATGCAATAATTGTAATATGAAAAAAAGCCTTATGAAAATCAACGGAAAAAAAAGGGCAAAAAAAAACATTTTAAAAACAGTTACTGTCCGACTTCTGGGTGGTTAAGGTTATCATTACCTTCCTTGTAATGATTTAAAAGTTTTTCTTAAATTTATTTCTCTCGTTGTTTTGTTTTACTTTTCTGTTCTTTTTTTGCTTCATGTGTACCTGCTTGCGTTTTATACGTATGATGCGCTTTTTTTTTGTATTTCAAAAACTTTGTTGCGCAATTGTTTTTGTTTTTTTACTTTATAGTTTTTGTCATATTGCTTTGTAATGCTCTGATTTATGTACTCATCAGATAAATCTTTTATATATTTTATTTTTCTGCTGGGCATCCTAGACGGTGTCATCACATTATAAGAATAAAAGTAGATATATAGAGAGTTTCTAGAAATTTGTTTACATCTTACATAGTTGAACATTTTCGTGTTTGTATGAATTAGTCTCACAAATTTAAGTAAATTGTTTAAAATTAATTTGACATATTCAAATTTATACTAACTAATTTAGTCGTTTTAATTAAACCATATGCATTTTAAATTATTTTTTAATTTTCAATTTCTACACGTAGTTGAGTTTATATAAGAGAATATTATGACGCGAATTGTGTTGTGTACGCATTTATTGCGCATGTATTGCGCGCACCTAATGCATTCTAGTATAATTTGATATTGTAGAAGTTCAAAAATAAAAAAAAGCTTTATAATCATAATTAACTGCTCTAAAATAGTTAAGTGAAATTAAAAAATAATGACACAAAAGTAATGGAATGAGGTAGACTGTAATTCAATATGTTGTAGTAGGTGCCTGGAATAATTCACAATTAAAATTTTCAAGTTCATTTGTATTGGCATTATTTGAACAATAAAAAATTTGTTAGAAATATGACTCCGATTTAGCAAAAAAAAAACTAAAATAAAATGCTAGAATTTGAAGTTTTACTATTTTCTGTACACCATAAAGTTTTAACAGACGAAATTCTATAAGACACAAATTTTTTTTTTTGTAGGTCTTGTTCCTATTTTTTTTTTGGTTAATTACATAAAATAGTTCATGTATTCTAGTATTAGATTACATAATATGTCTAACTATTTATTTTTTAATTATGTTATTTAATATATATATATATTAAATTCTCACGGTTAAAACCATAAAAAAAAGTTTATAGTACTTTGACCTTTCTAAAATTTTCTAAGAATCTTAGAGAAAAATTTTGGTTGCAGATGTAGACTAACTGCATATAAATATATATGTGTGTATAAGATCAAATGTGTGAATAAAGTAGTAATTGAATGTGAATGAAATGTGAATATAACTTGAATTTAAAATCGTTTGTTATGACTATTATAGGATAATACTCATAAATTGAAGAGTTTAAAATTTTTGTGTTCCTTTCTTCTTGCATTAAATGCAAGCAACTAATCTGAAATTTGACTAAACTAATTGAAATTTGATTGAAACTAATTTGAAATAATTTTGAAATCATTTTGTTTTGGTACAAGCGATTTTCGGATTGCTCGTTTTATGTCGTATCACATCCAAATATTCATTTTTTATCCCTAATGTAATCTGAATTTAATCTAAAAAAAAGCAAGGCAGGAAAGCATTAGTCTTGATTAGAACCCTCAATATATGTACTTCGTATTCAAATTAGTTAAATATGTTACATTTTTGGTAAGCGAGTCATAACTGCCTGACATAACTGATTGACATTCCTAAAATTTCAGCTCTCATATCACATAATTAATAGAAATCTTCCAATTAAATTGAAATGCTTTTTAAATCCGCTTATTTGCGCAAATTATTTATTTTTTCTTGATTCCGAAAAAATTTTAAATTTTGCAACTTTTTTAAGAATTTCGAAATTTTTTGTTTCGTTTTTTGTTTCACTTGTGTATTAAAGAACTTTAAAACTTGATTGCGAAAAGCAAAAAAAAAAAGTTACAAAATAAAAAAAATCAAATTAGAAAACCAATTCTTTCTTTAAAACAAATGAAATTAACTCGTGCCGAAAGTTTTTTTTTAAAGTTTTATTCGAGAAATCTGAGACTGTCTAGTGCATTTAAATTCTCTCTAACAAAATAAAAAAAAGTAAAAAATAAAAAAGTTTCTTTAATTTGTTTCTATTTGAATTGAACTTTATGCTGAGATTGTTATGTATGAATTTTTTTGGAAAATTTTCTGAGAATACTTGCAATTTGAAAGTATTCTATGTTAAATAGAAAAAATAAAATTATAGAATTAAACAAAGAAGAAAATGGTTAAAAAATCACATATATGGAGAATAGAAATTATTGCTTAAAAAATCAATTTTAAATTTTCAGTATAAATATTTGCCGTAACATGCGAATTTGAGAGGACGGATGTCGTAAAAATCATGAATCTTGAAGTTAACAAATATGTTTTTACATTTTCAAAATCAATCGCTTCTCGTAGGCATTCATTTCTATTTACGCTGTTTTATGATGCTACGTATTAGAAGTTACGACTGTAAAGTGTTGTTTGAATAATTTTGTTTCATTATAAAAGTTCGCAGGAAATTATTTATAATATTATATTGAATCGCCCTAAAAATTTATTTCCGTGAAAAAGATCAAAGTTGAATGTCTTGCAGGAAATTATGGAATTTTTAATCTGAAATAAATATTTAAATATTTAGTTTCAAAGGAAGAAGAATATTTGAATAATTATGCTAAACAACATAGAGAGGTCAGGTTGCAAAATTCACGAGTACCTTACGATTTATCGCTTTCGAAATAAAAATTAAATGCTATTCAAACTATAAGCTTCTCATTTAAAAAAAAATTTAGTTATACCTTCAAATCATTTCTAAAATAAAGCTTTCTATAATTATACTGTTTCGATTATAAAAACTCAATTGCAAAATTAAGATAATATAATATCTAAATTCCAAGGTGAACAAATTAAAGTGAGAAATATGGCATCAACAAAATTAACAGTATTACATAAATAATGGTCAAATTGCTATTTTTATCAAAATTGATTTCGAAATGTGCTTATAGTTCGACCATGGTTTGTAAAATGAAACATTTCCCTGTAACAATTTAAGTTTAAAACTTTTATATCTATTGGTTTAGGTTTTATAATAAATGATGTTTTATTAAAAAAATTTTGTTAACTTTACATTATACTGCATATAGTCAGGAGTAATTTAAAAGTAAATAATTTAAAATATATAAAACAGACGGAACAGAGATAGGGGAAATTAATAAGTCCATTTTTAATAATTTTTCAACTCAATAATCAAAATTTTATGAAAATGATTTTAATAAATTTTTTTTTTCAAAAATTATTTTTGAATATTTAAACCTAACCTATAATAAACACGAAGCTAACTGTTGGGATTAAGACAATTTCCTCTGCTTAAAGTTTATTACTACTTTTAAGAAAAGATTAATGGATTCACATACATAAATGTACGCATACTTTTTGATTCTTTGGTATCTGCCTTACAATTTTGCGGTATGCCATAGTAGTTCCTATTCAAATTTAAATTTAAAATTGAAATGAATGTCAGAAGACAAGTACTTTCAAGTATGTATTTTTTGGGTAACCTAAGGCCAATGTGATTTGTGTAAATTCAAAAAATTCCAGTTGCAAAAATTTTATTTAAAATTATACGATTAAAATACAAATTTTTAACATTTGTTAACAACCCTAGGAATGTACCAATTAGAATTTTAAGATTTTTTACATTGTTGACAAAATTTTTACATTTCTTTTAAAAACAAATCAGCAACAAAATAATATTTTTTTGCAACAGAAATATTTTTACTAAAAACGTTATTAGTTTCAAATAATGTTTAGAAACATGTTCTTGCAACATTTTTAGAAAATTATACGAGGGAATTGAGATACAAATACATTCAAAGAATTTTGTAAACAAACCAAATTTTCCTCAATAACTGTTATTTTCTTTTTATTTTCCTCTTTTTAATTTTCCAAATATTTCATTCTAACACATTCATTCTTGTTTTGTAAAAATATATGTTTGTCAAGAGTGAGGCTATTCTGCTACATCAAATACATATACGTAATAATATGTATGTATGTATGAGCTATGAAAATATGCGTATATTATATTTTCATTTTTATATTATTATCTGAACTAGTATAATAGTTGACTTCTGTTTATGATCGACTGCTTAGCAGTTTATGTCAGCTATGGCTGATTTATTTTTTATTAATGCGAGTAGATGATACAAAACTGAATATTGTAGCCTTCTTGTAAAAACAAGTGAGCTGACTGCTGATGACTCAGTACAATAGTTGAAATAAACCAAATGAGTGAATCAGTGCTGCTGACTATCAAATAATATTGTATGGGGTTGTATATACGTATGCATATATGTATGTATGTATGTATAAACAAATATAAATACTACAAATAATATTTTCATTTTTATTTTTTGTTTTTTTCTTTTATTTTTGTTTTATTATGATTATTATTGTTTGTGTTTTTATGTTGCTGTTGGCTGGCTGATATGATTTCTGATACGAACAAGAGTTGTAGCTAGTAGCATATAGGGAAAAACAAAAATTTTTCTTTTTCAGTTGTACTCAGACGGTCGGTGGTGTATCGCGTAATATGAAAATTATTTATTTTGCGAGAAACGAAGAATTTTCACAAAAAAATTTTTCTACTTTAGAATAAAAAAGAAAAATAATAAGAGAAAAAAAAACATTACTGTTTTTTTTCAGTTTTTCACTTTATTTTTCATTCGTGTTTGTTGTAAATTGTTATTTTATTGTTGTTCTTATTCTTATATACTCTACATTTCTTTTACTATACTATTTTTATTTTATTTGTGAATGTTTAGAAGTTCGCATGTTGTACGGATTAATAATAAAGTTCTTCCGTAAATAAATAAAATATAAATAAATAAAGAAAGAAGGAAAAAATTAAAAATAATAATAATATAAAGGAACCAACCAAAAAGAAAAAAAAAACAACAGAAAAAAGGAAAATAAAATTAAAGAAAATTATTAAGAATTCTTGTGGATTAAAGTAGAAAATTTTGCTTTTCATATAAGTACAAAAAAATAAGAAAACTTTGTGCGGATATAACGTAAATATAATAATATTAATATGTATGTATGTATGTACCTATAAGGTTATTTTTTTGAGTATATTATATGTTATGCGTGAATTACGTGCGTATGTATGTATGTGTTACCTAAATTGATAAGAAAATTATGTAGAAATACATGTATGTGTGTATACAAGAATATTTAATTTTTATTTATTTATGTTACTTTGTTTTTGGCATGTTTTGATAATTTTTGAAGAGTTTGATAAGAGCGGTATTTCGTTTTTTTTTTGTCGATCGAAAATATATTTTTATATATAATTCATATTTGGGTTTATTATTATTATTATTATTATTAAAGGAAATGATGGAAAGGACGAAAAGAATAACATTTTGATTAACGTCTTTTTTATAAGCATGTATGAATATTTGTTACTATATACAATTTTTATGTAAATATAAATATGTATATAACATAACAAAATTATACAATAATTAATTAACTTTTTCAAAAATATTTTGAAAATGTTATTGCAGTAGTGATTTTTTACAATTTTGTTTAATTACTTTTTACTTTAAGTTAATTACATAAAATAAAAATAAAGTAAAATAAAGAGAAGAAAAAATCTTATTTATTTTTCTCTTAAACTTTATTAAAGAAAAATTTAAAGATTTTCGTAAAGAGAAAGGAAGCATTAAATAAAATTTACAGAATAATTAAAGGATTATAAAAAAAATAACAAAATGTTGCTCTTTAAATATGAATGGCTGTGTAATTAAAACGGAAATTCATAATTGTTATTTTTGACAATTTGTAATGATAAAAATTTAGTTTTTATAGTTTTATATTTATTTTTGTTAAATACTTAAAATTTTATTTAAAAATTTTGGTTTGAAAAATTTAATATCAAAATTTTTAACATTTTTTATTTTTTATATGAAAAGTGATGATTGTTAGGACTAAATAATTTTAATTTACAAGTAATATGGCAAATATTTTAGGAAATTCTTTAATTTCATTTTGAAAGCTATTTGAATAAAATTTCAATTATTTAATTGTGCTAAAATAATTTGTTCTATAAAATTGTAATATTGCGGTAAATTGAACTAAAATTTAATAATTAAAACTGTAAAAATTATTAAATTGCTTTGGTAGTCCATACTAAGATAATAGTTCAAAATAATAATGTAACTGTTTAATTTTAAAGAAAAAGTGAATTTTTGTCCAGAAAAATTCATGTTTCTTACAATAATTGGCATTACTGTTAGTTTTAGGGAACTTTTAATTGACTTTAATATATAAGTTTTGGATTATTTTAATTCAATTGTTCATTATAATTTCAAATGTAGTTTTGATATCAATTGGTTAGTGGAACCTGAAATTAGTTACATATAATATCAGTTACTGTAGTTCATTAAACCATCTTACGTACACATTTAGCTCCTCTGATATGCAAATATATTTGAATTGTTCAATTAATTATGTTAACTGTTCTTAGGAAATTTTCTCATGCACCATATATTGTATAAAAAACTGCGTTTCAAAAAAAATTAATTTAATTTAGTACAATACAATTATTTTTAACAATACTTCATATTTTTTTTCGGAAAGCGTAACCTTAAAAGTAAAAATTTGTTACTTGCAAATCTAACTTATATTACTTCCATGTTAGTAAAAATTTATGAAAAAAAGAAAATTTTGCATATGATTGGGCGCTTTTAAATTTTTTCGATTTTCCTTTTATTGCAATTAATAATTTTTGTTAATTACTAAGGAAAATTAAATTTCTTTTTATTTCGTTAGAATATTATGATAGTTTAAAACAATTATGTAAAGAAAATAATATTATATTATACAAATTGTCAAAATTCTTGAAATTTATTTATTATAAATTTTTTCATAGCATTTAGATTCCTTTAGGACTTTATCAGGTTCAAATACAAATTACAATACGCATATTAAATTCTTGCAAAGTATAATACAATAAAATTTTATAATATCAAATTCAATTATGGATAAAATTGGGAAACATGAGAAAAATTCAATTTTAGTGAACAAATTAGAAATTTTGTTGTGACTCATTTTTCAAAACTTAAACGCTGTATATTTTATAAACTTCTTCTAAGGCTCAAGAAATTGTTGCATTCAATAGAAATAAATGTTTTATGATTAATATTGCACCAAAATCGCAAAAGGAATTTTTTCAAAGGTATATTTTTGAGTAAGATTTATATACCCGTTAATCTTGTGATTAACGGGTATATAAATTGAATCGTTAATCTTTTGATTATAATATATATTTTCTCCTTAATCAATAGTTTATATTTTCCCGATCAGTTGATTCTTAATGATTCTCAATATGTTATTTTCAATATTAAGCCACTCACCATTTAACCACCTTTTAATATTCTGTATGCATATGACGAATCAATATGTTATTCAATTAAAATATTCGGTAGATTGCCAAATTCTTCATTTTCCAAAATTTAAATGTATAACTGCGGATCTACATTTGCGGAAAATTTGTGAATTTGACTTCTATGTAGTGTAATTAATGTATGTTTTATGACCTCCATGACTGGAATTAGTTTATGTTTCGCCTCAAATTCAGAAGCAGATTAAAATTGGAAGACTTTTGTTTTTAATTTTTCGAAAAATATATGCTTCTTTTTTAAATTTTATGTGAAGTTTCTTATACATATATCAAACAAATAATTTTAATATGATTACATATTTATTTAATGTAGAATTTGTTAATTAATAATTCAGAAATCTTATTAAATTTATTTTTAGGTTGATTGCTTCATAAAAAGTAGACATGTTATACAATTTCCTTTTTATAATTTTAAAATAATAAAAATTTTAATAACAAAATATCATTAAATTTGATACACAGAGAAAAATTCATTATTATATTATTATTATTTATTATTAATTCCTATTAAAAATTAGATTAAATTTTAAAAATGAATATCATATACTCACATGAAATAAATTTATATATTACATATATATGTAAGTGAATAAAAGAAAAGCAAAAATATCAAAAATCATATTTTTAGTTCACATTTTGTTTATTGTGCCAACAAATTGTTACCATCACTTAATTAACTAATTTCACATTCGCTTTAACACTATTATTTTCAAATTTACATCAAAATTTTGTAAAATAGCGTGAGCGTTAAAACTACCAACTAACACGCTAAATTCTCATATAGTGATGTTATAGTCTTATATAAATATATAAATACACATATAATAATTATATGTATTACATGTATATGTGTATACACATATAATTTATGTATATGTGTGTGAATGATTTCAATTTTGTTTTAAAGATAAATTGTTGTCATAAAATGACAATATTATATTACGAAATTTTAATTTATAATCACTCTAAATTATTTTGTAATTAAAACAAAATTTGGATAACTTATTATAAATATTTTTGAATTTAAATTGAATTTTATCATGCACTCTAACATTGCATATGTATATCATTTTTATTAAGATCTTTTAATTAATTAATAGTTTATTAAATCATTTAAATATATGGAAAAGAAGAAAAAAATCAACCAATAGTACCTATACATATATATTCATACTTTCACATGAAATTACTGTATTTAATGCTATATAAATTCCGATAATTTTTAATATTATTTAATAAATTAATCAACAGGTTCTTAAATATTTTATGTCCGGAGGGTTTTCTTCAAATATGTATTTATACTTGTATTGCAATATGTTTATATATTGCAATACAATTATGAATAGGTATTAGAAATTTGCCAATCTGTTTGTTATATTGTGATGATAAATTGAAATATTTGTATAATATTGTAATTATTATGTAAATAGCTGGAAGGGAGAGCAATTGTATTGAGAGAATTTTAGTTTTTGTTACCGTTATATTTGTCCCTCACAATAGTATTTTAAAATCCTCAATCAATTAAAATGCTTAAATATTAAAATTCGAATTCTGAATAATGGCTAATCATTTATCATTTTTTATGTTAAAAATAGCATAGTGTAAAGTGCAATACTAAAATAAGTTGTATAATATTTTTTAAAACCTATTTTATAATATTGTTATGATCTTATAGTTACTGCAATTGTATTCAAAATATACTTTTAATTTTATCTCATAATTAGTAAGTACACCTCTCTGCTATTCATCCTCGTTTTCTTTTAAATTATTCAATATATTTATTTTATATATGTTATTTAAATTGAAATATTTTCATTTTATAAGTTATAATACAAAATAATATAATATACAACCGTCACATTTAATATGCAAGTAATTTTGACAAAAAAAAAACATAGAGAAAAATAAGAAAAAATAAAATTACGCGTGACAAATTATCATGAAAGTCAATTAACTAGTTATAGTTTTAATGTAATTTACAGGATGTAATAACGCTAGATATATATAAATAATTAAATATGTAGATATAGATGTAGTCAATATATACTTCTTTAAAAGCTTCACAAATTTTTTTTTAACTATAAACAAGCATTGCATATGACCATGGTAAGTAAAATTGCATATGACCACATGGCAAAAATATTTATAGCAAAATATATTTGCATAATATGAGTACAGTTTAAGTTAAAACAAAAGAAAAAACCAAATAGCTATAAAAATAGTTCATCTTTGCTCTTCTAATATCATAACAGTTATTTAAATTTAAAATATAACTTTATTATAAAAGAGGCATATAAATAAATACATAATTACTTTGTTGATCATAACAATTTGTGATATGTAAATATGATTACCATACGCATATGTAGATAGATTCTTTGATTTCCTATACAGGGTTATTTGAAAGGCATCAAATGATTTATATCTTCTTGATTATGGAAAGATAATTTTGGTGCACAACGAAAGCTACAAAAATGAGAAATATCGCCATGATACTTTTGTAAAAAAAAACGTGAGAATTACAAAACAATGTGTAATCCTATTAATGCAACTTTCGATTGCATCTCTAGAAATTTATTGAGAATTAGAAATAGAAATTTATTGAGCAAAACTTATGGTATTTGTCAAAAAATG